CCAAAAAGAACAACGCAAACAATAATATTTGACCCTAGGCCCGGCCCGAGGCGGGGGATGAAGGAGGAGGGGAGAGTTGAAGTTACCGAGATTATAAAGGGATTTCTTTTTTGTTTTGAAATTTTTCATCAAGGGATTTCTTTGGGGATAGGAAACTTTGGAAAATATAAATATCTCTAGACATTTTTGGTAGCTTGATTTAAGTAGGAATTTCAAAGGGTATTCAAAACAATCTGATTGGCGTAGTACCGCACGCGTACAATGCTGCTGGCCGCGCAGTTCAGACTGTCAGATGAGAAAAAGTAAAAGTCAGTGGATGGTACGACAAATAAACCAACCACAAACATTTACGTTTCTTTTTTTGGGCGTGCCATATCATTTGATCCTTCACGGAAAAATTTCAGGGCTTGGAGAAATCAGGGCTTGAAAATTTGAGGGGTTAATTTTCGGTCCTAAGATTTTTTTGGTTTCGTCGGGAATCAGACAACTCTGGTAAAACTGAACGGTAAAAAAAAAAAAAAAAATTCAGATTGTCGGTTCATTCAATGGCATATCTACAACATGTAAGTTAGAAATGGATTTTTTTTTTTCACAACTCAGAAAAAATCGCTCTGTCGTGCTTACGTAACGCAATCAAGTCTAGAACGGCCCTTTCACGTCGCACGTGACAAGTCGAGCGAGCAGGAATTTCGCTGTACTGTAGCTGTAGTTCGTATGTCTCAGTTTCATTAGGGAGTTTAAGATACGGAGACTACGGACTACGAACTACGGCTGGACGACCGTTGTCGTTTGTTTGTAGCACTGGGTTGAGTCGTGCAAATATAGAACGTTAAGATTCCACTACAGACGGCAGACTACGAGAGAAGAGGCGGAGAGGGAAACAACACGCAAAGATTTTCTTGTTTTCACCACAGTTCACAAAAATGCAAGTCAGTTTTGCATGTGATCTTATCTTTAGAACAATGAACAAATTCTTCCATACTTGAAGGAAGCAGTTACGTACAAGTCGATTCGCGTACAAGTTGATTCGCCTACAACTTTACTCCTTGTTCCATCACCGTAGCTCGGGTGAAATTGGTAAACAAAGTTTTGGATGCACAGGTTTCATTTTTTTCGCCCATGAGTACTTATGTAAAATATTAAAGAAATAGACAGAAACAGTAATAGCTCATTTACTAGATTTAGAAGATGGACTTCTTCGACTACTGATCTGATGTAGTTTGAAGTATTGAAATGCCCAGTTTCGATTGTCTCGAAGATGTTTACATCATTTTCATTCAGCAAATGCGATACAAAAACTCGCATAAACAAAGGTCACACAAGTAGAAAGACACACTTATCAGTTCGAACAGACATTGAAACTTTTCAAGTGTGAAGAGAAAGTAAATTACCTGCATGATTTCTCTTCTCCTCGGCCATCAATCGGAATTCTGCGTATAAACAGCTAAGCTTCTTTAAATATGAGCTTAGCTAGATAAAAATGTAGTCACAACGGTTGATTAAAATCGTAAATCTGAGCAGAAATTAGACACAACTTACAAATTTCGCTTCCCTCTCACTTAAAGCAGGCAAATGGAACCTTTTTTACGAAAAGACGAGATTCTTGAATTACCGAGACGGCAAAATACGAGCAAAATGTTCTCCGTAGTCCCGACTACGCGAAACAGCTCAACGACTCACCGTAGCCGCAGGACTACGCGGGAAAAATGAACAGTCACGTGGTTTTGATCATGCGCAGTAGTATGTTTATCCGTAGCCGTAGTCCGTAGTCGGAGTATCTTAAACTCCCTATTGTGGGAATGAAGTCCAACAAGGACACAAGGTACAAACAAACAAATTGTAGACCTGATTATATACTAGAGAGGATAGATAGTTGGTGTAGATTTTAAAAACTTCGCTGTTTCGTGATATAACTTGACCCACATGTTTACATTGGAGAGGCGAGTTCAACTACTGCACCCGAAGGCCAGAGAAATAGTTCTTTACGGCTGACAAAATGACACGAAACGTTCCACCTAATGTATGTGAAGCATCTATGTATCACTGTGGAACTTGAAATTACCTAAGTTAAAGGTATTTTGGCTGAAGCATTTGTTGGAGGAATGATTTGTGTCGCGCCGAACCTCTTGACTGTCGAGTCAGGAAGGTCAAATTACACTCAAGTGCTCTGTGAATTTTGCGTTTCCAAAAATTCATTTCATTTGTTGCCCAGAGTTTTGAAAGCATATTTTGAAAGCTTAGACATTGCTTTTTAACGTGGAATGTCTTTTTCTGTTAAAAATCATGTATCGGATGTGATTTTGGGCCTTTGAAATCTGACAATGTTTTGCTCGCGTGAAAGCCTTAAAATTTTGTAAATATTTAAAAATCCATAAAATATTCCAGTTGCGATCAATTCAAGAACATGACCACTCACTATGTGTATTAAACCCCTTTTAATACGATAAGAAGCTTTTTGGGTTGAATGATATTTAAATTCGATTGAAATTGCGGTCTTTTCGTAGCCCGGTCTAGGGAACCGAAAAAGCGTTATGGCGGAGGCGGTCAATCGCCCGAACTTGACATTCGTCGTATCACCAAAATATTTATCCAATGAAACTAAAATTCATATTTTCATTGCTAAAATACCTAGGGGAGTCTACATAATTTTTTTGGGCTTTTTCAAAAATTTTATTTTTCCCACCCCTACTGTTACATGTATATAAACTAAACTAAAAGTCTTGCAAGTGATTTGTGAAATACAAAATAAAGAAAATGTTTAAATGGCAATGACATCACCGTGTTGCCGTGGATACGTTGATCAAGAATTGAAAATTATACTTTGCCCAGTAATAGACACAGATCGACCTCCTGCTTTGTTTTACGAGCTTTTCTATTTCGTAACCATACGACAGTGAGTTTTGCTGGCTGGCTACTATTTAATAATTTATCTCTTTATATCTATTTTTAATTAAGGAAATGAATAGTCAATGTGGGTAATTTTTAGGCAATAATTTTAAAATATGACGTTAATACGACTTTATGTTACGTCATTGTGACAATGAAATTAAACATATTAGATGTTAAAAATATACAGCACTTTATTCCGTAGATTTGGTTGGCTGCTAAAAAAAAACCCTTTTGTTTGAGACATCTAAGCGGCCGGAGCTCAGACAAGTATTAAAGCATGGGAAAAATAGGAGTCACGAGACAGTTCCGCAACTGCTTTAAATTTGCAATGGCAATAACTTGAAGTGAACTATTCTTAGGCAAAACAAATAAATGCTTACATGTCAGTAATTGACACACAAATCCGTAAAGCAAAAGCGTTAAAGGTTAACAAGGGACTTCCTCTAACACTTGAACATGCGGATCACGTAAACTGATGACAATTTTCTCAATCCAGACTGGCTAAGGTCCTCATCTCACAGATCTATTTCGTTGTCGTTTAAACGACCGGTAAAACACATAATTTACCAAACTCAAACTTATCCAGACCCATTTGTCGTGGTAATGTTATAAATAACCGTGTATTAAAACTCAGGGGCACCCAGCGACTTTTTGCTGTAAAACTGTTTGAAGGAGCAAAAACAGATGGTTTTCACAGTGACGTCATCAAATTGTAAAGTCAAAATAGCCAGGTTTTACAAATTCCTATTTACACTAGGTTGAAGATAAACACATAGTAAATCTTTGTACAAGTTTCCATTCCCGTAGCATGTTTCATTTCGCAAAATACAGCATTTTGAACTTCCGAGTTTTCACAGTGCGTAACACCAGAATAGGAATGCTCCTCTTGATTTTCTGCAGTATAACCATTTCAAGTATTAGAAGATATGTTTATGCGTACGTATGCTAGTTCTCAAGTGAAAAGAAAGAGCTTTTATAGAAAAAGTGGATTCCCGATGTTTTTGTTGATTTCCGGCGGCCATATTGGTGCACCAAAACGGTAAGCCGATATGGCGTCTCCAGACAAAGGTCTACAAAGGTGCATGAAACGTTTCGGCAAATAACTCAGAAACTGTGTGCCACAAAGACCTAGCTGGGATGGACAAATTGTTTATATATTAGTCTTTTATGGCATTTCGTTTTATTGGCTTCCTCCACAGGACGGTTTCCATTTTTTGTTGTTATTGTTGCGTGACAGTGAAAACGATCTATTGCCTAGAAATTTCTAAAGCTTGTGAAAAGCTAAAAATTTCTGGATAACCGTTCCATTCGTCTAAAATATTCGGACATTTTCTAATAGCTTAACTCTCATTGAGAAGGGAAGTGCTGCCGTGAGTTGAGATGCGAATAGGACAAAGACACTATGTAGAATAGTTGAACATATGATTTTTTTTCTTTAAGGCAATAACTTATAGAATTATGAAACACTCTGAGTAAAATACACAAAATGAACCGATCACAATAACAAATATGCTTACATTCCGATAACTCGCTAAAGTTTCAATATGATTAATTTTGTAATCTATTTTAACAACATCAGTGCTGATAGGCTGTCTCTTCATCGAACGATCATCGTATACATGACGAGAAGAGTTGCGAACAAATTCCCTGCCCACGGGCAAATCATTCCAGTCAAATGCAACCAAATTTCCCAACCCGAGGCTGCACATTGCTGTCAATCCCAAGGAAGAACAAAAGAAAGGCACAATAAAAATATCTCCAAATAAAACTCTGCAATCTTTTATAAACGTTGCTGCATCACCAAAGATACGTGTTCCTGCTACAGCTGCAATTATACGTTTTAACCAGAATCCGTGTTACACTGCGCAGAATACATAAACCATTAGAGAAATTCCATATTTTGTAAGTTTAAATATACCGTTCTTATTAAAGGGTACAAGTTTACAGTGATTGTAGCGAATGAGCCATACACTAATCAATTGTACTTGCAAAAATTGACTTGGTTTCTCTTTACTTCCGTTTACCTTGATATCACAGTATTTTAAGAGGTTCAATTGATCAAAAACACGCCAAAACAAACGAAATTTGAAGACAAAACAGGAAAATCCACT